GAGAGAGAGAGTGTGAGCGATGCACATCGTCGAAATCTCGTTGAACCTCGTCTATCTTGCCGTACTTGCGACCGCCCGGACGAGCGACGTGAAAGCGCACGCGTAGGGGGCGCCACATGCTACCAACCTCGGCGTAGGGGGCGCCGCGCTCCACCTACCTCGGCGAGTTTCGGGGGGACTCCGTCGCCCGTCACCTCGCAGACAAACGTCTGCTGCGTCATGTAACCGGACAGCGTAGACGCGCGTGCGTAGGGGGCGCCACATGCTACCAAACTCGGCATAGGGGGCGCCGCGCTCCACCTACCTCGGCGAGTTTCGGGGGGACTCCGTCGCCCGTCACCTCGCAGACAAACGTCTGCTGCGTCATGTAACCGGACAGCGTAGACGCGCGTGCGTAGGGGGCGCCACATGCTACCAAACTCGGCATAGGGGGCGCCACGCGCTACCTACCTCGGCGAGTTTTGGGGGGACTCCGTCGCCCATCACCTCGCGGACGAACGTCTGCTGCGTCATGTAACCGGATAGCGTAGACGCGCGCTTGAACGCGTCCTGTAGACGCTTGAACTCCGACGCGGTAACTGCAACGATCAACGATGGTCCGCACGGTCACAACGAAGCACTGATTGCTAGCCGATCACGCACGCACGCACACACATACATACACACACGCACGCACATGCACACATACGCGCGTGCACACACACGAAGGTACGCACGCATGCACTTGCAAACATGTACAAACACACACGCACGCACGCACGCACGCACGCACGCACGCACGCATGCACGCACGCACACCTATGCATCCAAGCATTACGCACACACAGCTACACACGCACACACAGCTACGCACGCACACACGCACGCAGGTACGCACGCACGCACACATACACACTTTTAAAATATGCATTTTTCGAAACGTTGTTGTTGCTTTTGTTTTCTGTTTTAATTTCTATTTTTCTTTGCAAAGAATGCGTACTTTCATCAAAGTGCAAATTAAAAATTGTGCATCTCTAACAGTAGCATATAAAATGGGCAGTAGAGGAACCGCCAGTTTTTTTAAATAGTTTTCCAGTCTTGGAAATACATCAGAAACCCCAGTGCGTTCTGATTTCGTACATTTTTCTACTATATAACCTATATCAAATTCCATTAAAATTAGCCAGTCCTGCTCACAAGTTACCAGTCCTGGACAGGATTCTATTTCCAATACCGCGTTTTATTTATTTCAAATAGCAAGTCGAAAAAAACTTTTATTCTGAGGGGAAAAATCCATTTTGCATACTGTCCTGGTATACAATTCCAAGTTCATGAGGCAGCAAAGGAGAGAAACACCATGAATCATGGCAAGAATCTGTGTGACTGACTGGCACGCTCTATCAGTATCATGCGAACGTGGTGGAAGAGGAAGGGGGGGGGACACTAATAGCTCCGGGGGAAAGCTAGGATCGTACGCAAGGTCTGCTGATAAGGAGCTTACTGACTAGTATAATCATCACGATATCAAACCACGAGCACCTCCTCACAGCAAACTTTCACTTCAGCGTAACGAGTGAATGGAGACATATAATCAATACAAATTACAACTACGAATACAACTCGCACTTGCGCTCCTAGCTCCCTAGCTCAGCTCTGACCACCTGTCTGCGGTGTCATTGGCGCACAGTATTATATAGCAGGGTTCTCCAAGAGCACTTATAGCCTGGCGGCCCGCCAGGCTATCGTCGAGCCCAACCATCCTAAAATGCACCCGCCACTCTAAATATCATAGCCGCTATGCTAAAATTAGCTAAAAAATGCTAAAAAATGTTAAAACTAGGACCGTAAAGGCAGCCCCGCCATGCTATAATGAAAAAGCTTGGAGAACCCTGTATGGGGGTCTTACAAGCTTTACATGTTGACTAGCACTATAACCAAGAGTGATACAACACATTTCGAATTATTTTACTACCGATAAAATCTCATTTATTCGCTAGAAATTGCGATGCTAGCAACACCTAGCAGTAGCTAGCCAACATCTTACAGTACAGATATTCACTACATATAGCAATATCACCTAGTGACGCGACTGCACTCGGCTATCACGGGTTGGCGCGCAGCGAGTGCAGAGCAAACATTTGCGTCGCAGCAACCACCCTAACCCATTCGCGAGCCGCGCGTAGCAATAAAGTCCCACGGCGCCACGCACGCGCGGAGAGAAACCCGCAGCGAGAGATCGCGATCTCTACCGACGATCACCGCGAGCGCTGAAGCAGACGACATTTCGTCGGGAATCCGTCGTCGGACCAGACGCTCAAACGTCTTCCCGCGTAATTCCGTGGGAGACGAATGCTCCCACGCATCTCGGGGCCACGGTCGGCCGCCCCGTCACACGAATGCTCCGATTTCCAGCATTCGAAATAAACGCGATTGCTCCTCGTGAAACGGAATCGTTCGCGCGGCACAAATTCGCAAATTACGCGCGGGGGCGCCCGCGAATGTAAGGACGTCGTCGCGCGTAACGTGAATGCATCGCGTACTCGGGCCGCCGCGTCGCTATACACCCGGCCGTCGTCGACAATAGCGGCCGATGCAGCAGCGCGATTCTGTTTGCTTAAACAATGTTGGCCCACAGATTGCGCTACGCATAGCTGAGCGGAGCATTATCGGGGGTCGTGATCGCAGATCTGCCACCACCGTTCCTCCAGATATTACAACGAGATAATAGTGTATGATTGCACACAAGCCTAGATGCGCAACTGCAATGCCACAACAAACATCTCCCACACCCATCCCTACCCACCAAATTCATGAACAGCTCAGATGGTATTTGCTAATGAAATTGAAGAATGACTGAAAATGATATTTCGACATCGTTTAATCGTTTATAGACAACACAGTTATGTTGTTACTATATATATATAACAACATTTGTTACTGTACTGCATTCAATATTTTAGCCACGTACCATAATTATATAGTAATGATTTACATTGCTTGTTTATTGCATTATTTGAATTGTTTTCAATGCTGAAATAATTTGTAAAAGCTCTACCTGTTCTATGATGACTATAGCCATCAGAAATTGAGAAACACTTGATTTACAACAACTGACAATGTGTTTTCATCAGTAATCCTTGTTGTTAGGCACCTTTGCCCATGCCGCTCCTCACAGTGATAACATTCCCTTCATTATTATGGTTTGTTTAAACAAGGTGCACCAATCCACTGATATAATAATCAAGGATTTCACTATTCCAACTCTGACTGTTGTTGGCAGTCGAGGTAGACATTATTCCTGTTGTAAACATATGATGACCATTAAATATTATAGTAAAAACTGAAAACCTCTTAATCATTGCTGTCACCCATCGACTCCGATTCCTGAAGCATAATGTATCAACTCATCGAAACTAAATTCAACACCACTGTACAGATACTCCCCTACTCACGAACAGGTTCAGTTCCGAGCGGTCATTCGTAAGTCCATTTGTTCGTAAGTCCTACATATGTACGTATACAGTATTGTACAGTAGTGTAGTATATGTAGGTGTGAACATCGAGTAACCTAGAAGTGTACATAGTGTAAACTAAAGCTAGAGTAACATACTATTGTTTACATCGGTGTTTTTGTGTTACCTCGGCGCTTCCCGCGCTACATTGCCGCCACCACGCAGCGAACCTGCGAACTAAACCTTACGCCTAAATTTTCGACTTCAGGGCAAATGGTTCGTATCATCGAAAGTTTGCAACACGAATGTTCGTATGTCTCTGTATGTACGTGTTTTTTCATGACAATTGATATCACATGTCCTATAACAGAGCTATACGAGCAGACAATTTTGTTTTTAAACTTTTTTATGCTATTTTAAACTTTTTTATTTAATGCCGGCCTATGCATTCGGCGCACGGATCCATAGCTGCCAGCGCTGCATACTGTTGTAGGACGTTCCCGGGGTCGCGTGCGCCTTGCTGCGGAACTGCGCGCAAGATCCGCGCTCAGCGGTTAGGATCAACACCTCCTTTCGGCAACACTTCTCTCGTATCCCGTCTCATCTGGATCATGTGTATCTTGTGTTTTAAAAAACACACTATACGTATAAACGCCATTGCTACTGCATTGCATAACGTCATGCAGTCAATCCCTTCACTAGCTCCACTGTACCTAATCTGATCCCTGTAACCTTTGCCTAAAAATCAATACCAGAGTCTCAATGTTTTGTGGTCACCAGTATTTTAGGGGAAATCTGGGTGTACCTTACAAGCACACCAATGTTGACCTGGCTCTACTAAGCATAGGGCTAGCATTAATTCCTCTATCGATAACTCACTCCATTACCGTTCTAGGCATTTATTTTAGCAGAACGAAATGGATAGATATGGGTAGTGTATCTATACCAATTTCAATGTTTCTGATATCTAAACCACATTCGACAAGTAATTTGGACTTTAACTGGGTACTAATAGGTTGCTATGCTGCATGAAACATCACCGAACGATTAGGAAAAACGTGCAGAAACTACCACAAAGGCTTATGTGCAGACTGAACTCAAGCAATGACGATGCGCTTTCTAAATAGTACTTATACTCAAGGCCTCATACTGAAATAGCACATAAATGCACTTGTGTCTATCTTATTGAAGTCATGCTCAGTGGATAAACGCAAACACAACAGTTGCAAACTTAAACCTAGACAGTGACCGTGAAACTAGACATTAACAGTGATTGCATGTTAGCAACAAATGGCTAGCAATGCCACAGGGTTCCGTAGGTACATATCAGTGATTAAGGCCATCCTTAAAAAATTCTATGTTTGCTGTCCCCCGATCCATAATTTTTGTAGTGGGTAGGTAGGTAGGTCATTTTTTTTGTGTGAGGCATAATAGTTATTTTAAGTCTGTCCTCATGTTTGCCACACATGCTTTGTATTTCAGGCCTAACTATAAAAAAATAAAAAAAATAAAAAAAATATGGAACCCAAAATGTCAAAAATAACTTTTGGGTTGCGGCTATTTTCGTGGGTCGGTCGGAGGACAGCAAACATATAATTTTTTAACGATGGCCTAAGCTGTATTTTTACGCCGCACTAGTTAACACAATTTTGCGTCATGCACCATTATGAAGCTATTGAACTATTTTCTACACCCCCACGACTGCCCACGCAGCTAAACATCGAGAAGGGCCAACAAAGGACAGGGAAGACTTCGAAAATGTGAGGGAAGGGTTACAGATGCAATCTGGCTGGAAAAAGCACAGACGTTTTCCAGATATTGCAAGAGTTTCAAGGATTTGCACTCGACTCGACGCACAAAAAATAACATGCATGCCTCCGACTATTTTGGGAATTGCGGCAACACTGACATTTTAACAGCATTACAAAAAGATTGATCAAACTAACTGTTCTGTTGCCTTTCTACAATGTCATCCCCCCATAGCACACAGATAGGTCGCAACTATAATCATTCAGCGATTGCTGGCCACTGGTGCACTCTGTATTTACATTAATTAGATTGTACAACAATATTTACATACAATATTTTTCTTTAGATGGGCGTAGTGCTGCCATCTAGTACTGGTGTAAACAGCTGTCATTCCTACT